TAGACACCTTAACAATTGTTTTGAAAGTTTTTTAAATATTTGTTTTTTATATCTGGAGCTTTAAAATCTTTTAAAATGTATCCAAAAGAAGGCCACAACAATTTCAACATTTATTCAGCAGTCAAAATATATTGTAGCCTACTTTTAGACAGATTTTGAGGCGATTTACAATTTTTGGAGATTTTAGATATTTAAAAATACTTTCATCATATTCAGTAATAACAAAACAGGGATTATAAAACATGATTCAACATAACTCAAAGATTTAAAATTTATTAGCCTCAATCAACTGAACTTTAAACAACTCTTTGATTGACTGACTCCTCTTTATCCCCGGCCATTATCCTAAAGAGCTACAAATACCCCATCGCAATGATAGCATTTTAAAGCTCAAGTTTCCGCAACATTCAATGAACCACCGCTGCTGGCCCTTGTAATGCCATTTCTTTCCGCTCATTTTCCACACATTTCGAGTAATTCAATATTCTTTGCTCTGGCCTCCCCCTTAACGTTGTTATAAGGTAAGGAGCAATAAAGGCAACGACCAAATTGACAGTTTGCTAGCCAAGTCGCTGCCTTCTCCACCGCCTTTCTCCTCCTGCCAACTTTATTGCTAACTATTGTGCACAACGCGGCGTATACGTAATATTTGATTGCACCTGCGCTGCCTGTCGATATAGGGAAATGGAAAAGTGGTGGAAAAAAGAGGGAGGGGGAAAAATCGCGATTCTCATTTACATAACAACGACTCCGCACAGCACAGCGAGTGTATTGAGTGAGTGCAGTCGATTCGGCGTTAAAAAGCGTTAAATGTAACAGGGCAACTTTAAAAACGACTCTCATAGTCGGTTTTTCCCAGTTTTCCCAGCTTTTCCACATGCAATTTGGCTTGTTACTCGCTTGAGTTTTCATTTCGCTGGCGTATAATTTACATTTTGCCCCCGCGCTTCATGAGGTGCCATAATCATAAATTGACAACTTGAAATTTGCACAAGCACACAGAGAAACGCCCTCAAAGCCATTTCCTCACTCGATTTTTCCCCATCTTTTCCCTTTCCCTTCTTTTTTGGCCTGTCAGGCATTTTTCGGGGCATTGTATCTGCATTTTTAATGCACTTCTTCCTACTCGTTTCGCCATTTTGGCATTAAAGGGCAGAATGTATTCCACACTTGTGAATTTATTCCACCCCTTCCATATCCTTCCATGTCCTGCCACTCAGGATCGGTTTTGTTGTTTCGGTTCTGCAGAATTTGACAAGTTTTCAAGTCGAAAATTTTTAGCTCCCCTGCTTTTGTTAGAGGGGCAACAAATTGGCGCGGCTTGTTTACATGCAAACCAACCAAAAAAAAAAAAAGAAAACAAAAAACACAAAAAAATTGAGAAAAACTGGCAAGGAGAACAAATATGCAGCGTAATGAAAATTCATCGGCAACGGGGCAGCAACAACAACAAAAAAAACACGAAAAGTGCCGGAAAAGTTGCTGCAAAAGTTTTTGCATTTTTGGCTGCAAGTTTTCGGGCAAGTTGAATTCGTCGAAAGTTAATTGAAAATGGCTTGCACTTAATTTAGATGAACTTTCTGGCCACAATACGCCAAAAAGGATACGCTGAAGGATACAAATTCGAGAGACAGCGACAACAAACGGCTAATGAAGCAAAGGGGACAATAAAAATGCAAATATTTAAACGAAAGCCGCACAAACACAAACGTTTCGAGTGAAAAACCGCAAAGCACAAACAGAATACGTGGAAAATGCGACTCTCTGTCGCTCTGTTTGTGTGAAAATTAACACGCAATTTTCAGGCCGGCAAGCGAAAACGAAGCGAATAAAAATCAAAATAAAAAAACAAATAAAAATACAAATAAAGACACAAGTGGCAAAAGGAAGGAAAGGATGGACTATGGACTCGTCGCTTAAAGCCGAAAATCAAACAGCCAAAAGACAACACGCAAAACGATCGATAAAGCCGGCCAGATAAGAGAGGTCCTGCGAACTGAACCGAACTGAAGCCAAGGAAGAGTTGCCATTTTCAGCTGTCCTGCAGCCAAATGCTAAAATTGATGCACCGAAAAAATAAGTTAATCAAATTGATTCGATATCAGCATTATCAATACTACTTGTTTTTATGTGAATACCCACAGAAGTCTTTTTAGTTTTGTAATTACTTATGTATGCGCCTAAAAGTATGCAGTAAAAAAGAAAATGCAGCGCAAGATTACGGACTTAAGGGTGAACATTTATTGTAGCATACTTTTAGACAGATTTATTAGAGATTTCAAAACAATTCTCTATTTTAAGGAGCCCTCGATAACAACAGAATACAATTTAAAATATAATAAATTCTTAAAAAAAAAAAAATATAATTTTAAAAAAAAAAAAAAAAAAAAAAAAAAAAAAAAAAAAAAAAAAAAAAAAAAAAAAAATTTTTTTTTTTTTTTTTATAAAATGTTATCTATTATTCAATTTTTCTCCGTGTATGTACCTCCATCTCTGTGTGTGTGGCACACTTTAAAGCATTAGTTGGACTTTTTATGGCCCTGGCATTAGGCGCTTAAGACGTTCAAGCCAAAAGGATAACAACAACGGTCGGCAGGCGACAAGCGACAAACGGACAGGAGACAGGACACAGAGAAAGGGACAGAGACAGAAACAGAAACAGAGAAGATAAGGGGAGAGGAAGGAGGGCATATAAAAGCAAAGAGGCTAAGTGACAACTAAACTTAATGGCACTTCAACAACAGCATGAAGCAATGGACGCAGAAGAGCCACCAAACCGAGAACAGGGGCGTAGAGGGGGGCTCCTTTGGGGGGGCAGGGGCCTTAGCGGACATTAGCCTCATTGAATTGAATGACAAAACAAACGACGGACAGCGAGGCAAAGGCGAAGGCGAAGCAGAACGAAAAGGACAAGGCGATGTTGTGGATAAGGATAAGCATTGCACAAACACAGAGAGAAAAAGAGTAGTGCAAAAAATTGTGTCATTTTAAGATTATTTTTGTTATTAATATTAAAAATTTTTTTTTAATCTAGAGTTTTCAAACCATTTAAAAAGGCGCATAAAAGTATGCTAACCTTCGCTTATGTTTCGCTGCATACTTTTAGACTTTTTTCTTATGCTAAGAAATTTCTATAGATTTTTCTTTGCAACCCCTAGAGAACGGTCCAATTATTTTCGAATCAAGTTTTGGCTTTCTTGAAAATTTTTCTCTCAGTGCACTAACACACAGTGGCAGCAATGGCAATAAGCGTGCAAATACAACAACAACAACTACGATGAGCGACGACAGCGATGAAAATGTTGTATCAGGACAGCATTAAGATAAACCCAGCAACAGCATCAGGGCATAAATAACGCAGATCTGGGCGGAAAAGGCGGTCGGTCAGGGAAAGCGGACTAGATGACGAACTCGGCAATACTCTGGGTTTCTTAGAGGAGACTTAAAAAAAAAGAAGATAGCAAAACGCCAAATTGCTAAGGTATTCCTCAAAGGCGGGGATAACACGAGATAATCTAGGTGAGCTTCATGAAAGGGAAATGCCTTTCATCAGAGGAAAGAAGCGCACACAAATTAAGTTTATATTTTAACAAAGGGAAGCTTATTAATCAGTTGGAAAAATCTAGTTATGAAAAATGTAATAAGTAATACAATTAAAGGGTTAAAAATATATTTAACCTATAATTACTTAGTTATTATTATTTTTTTTTTTTTTGGTGTGACTTTTTTTCTTTAAATAAAATTTTTTATAATTTAAGACCCTTAAACTTTAAGGCTTAAAGCCTCTCTAAAAATCTTTTTCATTTTTCTGATATTTACATTCAAGGTAACCTTAAAAAGGGAATCCCCTAAACCAAACCGACCCCCGGTCATTAGGAAGCTCTAAAAAACATTGAGTGAGGTTCGAGAGGGACCAAAAAAAGGTATACCCTCATTTGCCATCCCCTCCCCGACTCATGAGCTTCTACAAATGTGTGAAAATAGTGGACAATTTTCCCAAACGACTGTCCACTATCTTTCCACCCCCTCCCCTGCCCCACCCATCGACATGCCATTGGATGGCGATGGCGGGTGGCCATTCTTTTTGGCCGCTGCCATTTTGTTGCCATTGTTGGTGGACAATTTCCGTTTCCGGCGCGTGAACGCAGCCAAAGAAAAAGCGAAGCGAACTGAACTGAACTGAAAGTGAACTAAAGTGAAGAAGCGAAGCTATGTCGCATATTGGTTTATGAGCCTGGTCCTGAGCGACAATGGGCCACGCCCCCTGCGAAGGCTGTGAGCAGTGAACACTTCATTTGTCAAGCTTAGTTTGCCAAAAGAGGAATGCGGACGGAGAACGAGGGGATTTACTAGACTGCACTGTAAAAACGTGGCTTTACTTTGGATTATAATAGTAGATATGATTTTAAATTTAAATCAGTAAGATTTTTAAATCACTTTTTTGAAGGTGTCTGAAAGTATGCAACAAAAAATACTATATGGCCTGACTTTTGTATTTGGAATACATTTTTGCATTCTTTTATAAACTTTTTTAAGCGATTTTAAACCTCTCGTGATCTTTGTGGCATCCTTGAATTGAAAAGAATATATAATTACTGATTGAATATTATTAAAATAATTTCTTTATACTTTTCGATTGACTTTTGCACTCAGAATAAATTTCTAGATACTCCTAAACACTTCGATAAGTGATTTTAAAACTCTATGGATTTCTGTGGGATTCACGAAATGAAAGTAAAATATTATTACGAAATTAAAAGCTTTAATTCTGAATGAATAATATTTAATTATGTTTTCCCCTTTTTCTAGAATTCTTTTATTTTTATATCTTAATCGTAATCTGCCTTATAAGCATTTCAGGTAACCCAAATACCTCAGTGGGCATTTAAATGAAACATCCCGAATTTTGACTGGCTCAAACTGAAACTAAGGCTAACTGAGAACTGCGAGCTGAAAACCGAAAACTGCAAAAAGAGAACGTATTTCTCAAATGCACTTACCGAAACTGCATTAATTATTCAGCAGCCATGGCTGCGGACTGGCCGTGTCCCGTTCTGTTCTGTTTCTGTTTCGGTCTCGTCCTCCTCCTCGAGTCCTGGGAGGTCCTAGGAGGTCCTGGCCTGGCCTGGTCAGCGGTTTGGGCCGAAAGTCGACAAGTTGAGCAGCTGAACTGGCGCTGAACGGAGGAGAACCCGATGCATGCCTGCAAAAGCAAAAGCAGAGGGAAAAGTGGCATAAATATTAAATGCAAAATAGCACAAGAGTTGAAGCTGTGAGAAATTCCCAACTGCCAGCAGGGAATTTTCGGTCCTACTTTGCTAAACATTTTACTAAATTATGACGTCTCTTTCTATTTTATTATTCGTATTTTTTGTATTTTTTCCTTAAATAAATCAAATAAAATATGCGCGCGTTCACGCTGAAAGCTGAGGCCAAGACAGTGGCGTCCCCCCACGGAACGAAAAGGGGATGGGGGAAAAGGGGGCTGCTTTTGGATCCTTTGTGACCTGGTTTTTTGGTCATAACAATATTGCCAACCGAAGCGTGGAGCAGCGCACACAATTACCGTGGCAACTCAGTTGGCCCGCCCACTAGCGGGGAGGACAATGGGGCGTGGCCACCCCCTCCCCATTTTTTCTTTGAGTGTATGTGCATGCTGACGTCATTGCTGCACTCGCACAATTACCATTGCAACAACGTTTTGCCGTAAAAGACGACGACGACGTGACCTGCTGACGGTCACTTGGGCTTCACTTTAAATATGCTATATGTATGTGGGCGGGGTGGGCGTGGCATCACAGGGGCGTGGCTAGAGGGGGCGATAGCTGCCAAGGTTAATCAGCTGGTGCTACTGCTCGTCTGCCCATTTTAATTGGCCTGCTGCCTGGCGGCGCCTTTAAGTGAGTTATAAAATGCGAAACTATTTCGACAAGACAACCGACAGCCATCAACCATCCCATTTTGCATCGCTCTCCCTTGATGAGCTTTAAATTTGAAGAGCAGCTCGTAAAGCTGTGGCCAAATGGAATAGCAGATGAGCTGCTGAATTTATAGGAGTACACAAAGTGGAGTGATAAAGCAGGAAGCGTTCCCGTAGCGAAGGATTCCTAAGGACTACACTCAATTCGCCGGAATTGATGGACAGGACAAGCGATTGAAATGGCTCCAGGTTGCTTGAAATTTACGTGAAAGGGGAAATGGTCTTCAATAATAGATAAGTTATATTTTATGGCCTTTTGTTTTAAAAGGCTAAAAGTTTTCGATGAAAGGAATAATTTGAAAAGAAAAGAATTTATTTATGATTGTTAAATCACTTTTAAAGGTGCCTAAAAGTATGCATTGAAAAATAATAATCGTCTTTCAGCTAACTTTGACATCCCAAATATATTGCTGCATACTTTTAGACACCTTTATATTTTTGAAATATTACAGATTTTAGTATTAACTTATTTGAAAAATATTTTTAAAATTCTTATTATTAAATTTATAACGATCAAAAAAGTTTATAATTAAGGGGCTGTCCATATATTACGTAATCACAATTTTGGTGATTTGTGACGGCTTTTTTGGGGAATCTTTATATACCATTAAGTCCTTTGGATTTATACTCAAAAAACCATAGAATGTTCTGTTGGCTTAAAAATATTAATGTTTGAATTATCTTGAAAAGAACAATGCTGACCTTAATTCCACAATTGTATTTATTTGTTTCAGTGACTTCTGAGCATTTTTAAAGTATCCTCCTTATTGCATTATCCCTGGACGAGAGATGAATGCGCATTTAATTTGGCATTTCCCTTGCAGCTTTCAATTTCTCCACATCTTTCACCCTCGATTTCCCCGCTGGCCACATCTGAAATCCATTCCCCATTTCCCAGCTGCTATCCATGATGATTACACTCTATCGCCTCTGCTTAAGCGCCTTTTTATTTAACTATATAAAACTGCAGCGCATCAGAAATTAGAGAAGCGAACGCCAGCGGCGAAAATAAACAAGCGAACGTGTTGAGTGGGCGGCGACAAAGGGGGCGGGGTTCAAAGTTCAAAGGGGCGTGGGTGGTAAGGGGATGGTGAAAAAGGGGAGGTGTCAGAGGGTCACAGCGTGATAACGCTTTGTAAATACTTTTGCTGCACTTTGCCGCCTGCACTGCTGTTGTTTTTTCTAGCTTTTTATTTTTTTGTCGCTTCCTTTGGCTTTGCCATCGCAAATTTTTATCTCCATTTGCTAGCTGCGCTTTTCTTTTTTCCGCTTTTCCCCCTCCCACCGCTCGCAGCAGGGAAAAATCACAGAGACAAGGCTGCGCTTTTGTTTTTCCAGCGCGAAAAGGGATATTATTAAGCGTGGATGTCAGCGGCGTTATCGCCAGGGCAGCTCTAAGTGCAGGACACCAAATAAGAGGACAAAAAAATACAGTTCAGACAGACGGACAGAAGGAAAAGTCGGAAAGGATCCAGAGTCAGAGCCAGAGAAAAGGACAGATCCTGTGAATGTGAATGCGA